TCCTGCGCGAGCTGCAGCAGCGCCTCCAGGCCCGCGTAGTACACCTGGTCAACATAGCTTATATCTTTACAAAGGCGCTTGCACCTAAACATCATTGGTGGCACTGTGTACACTTTGGTCTAGTTCCAGTAGCTCCTCACTTGCTAGGACCCTTTTTCTGTACTCCTGAAATTATATGGACTGGCCTTGTGGCTCTTGTTCTAGTGGCTGGTCTAGTAATGCGATCCTGGGTTACTCTTGCTACGCTTGTACTCTTGCTGACTGGTCGTTAGACCCTTGCCTCAAAGATTGGAGTAGTATTGCCGCCCTCAGCTGCGTGTCTCTCGCTTGGCATCGCCCCTTGTCTAGCCTATGGTGTGTGTCAACTTATACATATCTTGCATATTTAGAAGTTATAGGCTAGTAGGATTCGTGCTCTTAGAGAGTACAACACTCAAGCATAAGAACCCTTGTATGCCCTTGCTTATATCATTGCATTTTTCTGAGAATTCCCCCATAGTTGAGTACCATATAATACAAGACCAGCTTTTGTGGAGCGTACTGATCGGTATCCTCCCATTTGGGATGCGTGTCTAATAATCATATCGTGGCACTGGGATAACCCTATCGATCCGCTCTCTATCTCTAGGGAGGGTACTTGGGAGGCTTTCCTCGGAGAAGGTGGATACTGTATATGGAGCCTAACCCTCCTGATGACATCCCTTCTTGTCCCAGCGGTTAGGACCGGAGACATTATGACTTGGTATCAGAGCCATTTGGGGTTCAATTCCTGGTGTACACGCTATCCCAGCGGGGGTGTGTGTCATGGCACTAGGAGAACCTTGTCGATTCCTCTCTCTATCTCTAGGGAGGGTAATGGGGAGGCTTTCCTCAGGGAAGGTGGAAATTATCAAAATGAGTAGTGAGTAGAATAGAAGGATACAGGGGTATATAGACTAGGGGTTGCACCCTCTAAGGCACAATCCAGTATAGTCTACAGTAACTACATAAGTTACATTTGACACACCCCCTAGACTATATAGGGGCAGTGCCTAATAGGAGAAGAAGCAGCTCAGGGTAGCACTACTAGTCCAGCCTCTGAGGCAAGGGTCTAAAGACCAATAAAAGGAATACAGGCAAGGCAAGAGCAAGAACAGGGCGGCACTACTAGTCCAACCACTGGGAGAGGCCACAGGGCCAGTCAGGGTAATATGTATAGAAAAAGGTTTGTACACAATCAAGACCCTAGCAAGTGGGAAGCTACAGGAACAAGACCAAGCTGTACACAGTGCCGCTGATGATCTTTAGGCACAAGCACCTTCGTAAAGATATTAGCTGTGTTGGCACCGGAGGCCAGGTGTACTACGCGGGCCTGGCGACGCTGCTACAGCTCATGTAGGAGGAAGTACTGCAGCTGGATGTGCTTTGCTCTGCCCTCGAGTCGCGGCTCCTGCCACAGGAGGATCATGGCCCTGTTGTCAGCGTACAGGACCGGGGCAGAGCTAGGCCGCTCACCTAAGTCAGTGAGCAAGAAGGTCAGCCAGCGGAGCTCCTGTGCCGCCATGGAACCGGCGTAGATCTCGGCCTCACAGCTGGACTTGGCAATAGACGAGGAGCGAGTAGCTCTCCACGAGACAGCACCTGAACCAAGGCTAAAGCAGTAGCCCTGTGAGGACCTAAGAGTCTCAGCATCGTCTGCCCACGAAGTGTTTGTGTGCCCAGTAAGGACCACTGGCCTACGCCCTCCAAGCACTAACCCCATGCCCGATGTACGTGCAAGATAACGCAAAACCTTCTTAGCGGCAGACCAGTGCTGAGGTCGGTGTCTGCCTGTGGCCACAAAGCGAGCCAGGATGGTGAGAGGGCATGCAAGATCTGGGCGAGTACAAGTCATCAGGTACATGAGGCAACCCACCAGCTCAGCGTAAGGGCTACTGGGCTCTACCAACTCCTCAGGAACTGGAGCAGAGAGCCTGTGGTCTACAGACAGAGGGGTGGGCTGTGCAGAGGAGAACTGAAGGCCGAACCTCTGAAGGACCTGGCCCACCAAGTGTGACTGGGTGAGGGTGATGGTGCGTGCTGCTCTATCCCTGGAGATCTGGAGGCCAAGGTAGTGGCGCAGTTCTCCTAGGTCAAAGCAGGTGTGTCTCTTCAGCAGCTCTGCCTTCACGGAGGCCAGTGCGTCCCTGTCTGCTGTGGCGAAGACCAAGTCGTCTACGTAAACAAGGATATGGAACGGAGTCTGGCCAGCACGAACTAAGAGCGAGGGGTCTGCAGAGGACGGAAAGAATTGCAGGTCAGCAAGGGTAGCACGCAGCGTGTCGTGCCACTCACGAGGAGCCTGTCGCAGGCCGTAGACGGGGCGCCGTAGGAGCCACTCGGTCCAAGGAGGGAAGGTACCAGTGAAACCCTGAGGGCGGCGCAGGTAGACCTGCTCGTGCAGACTTCCCTGAAGAAACGCAGTGGAAAAGTCGAGGGAGTGAAGCTCGTAGTCACGCTGAGCTGCTACGTGTAGCAGCACCCGAAGAGTAGTCATCTTCGGGGTCGGAGCGAAGGTCTGGAAGAAGTCCACTCCCTCACGCCGACTCAAACCTTTAGCCACGTAGCGTGCCTTGAACACAGGCAGCTCTCCAAGAGGGCGCTTCACCTTGAAGAGCCAGCGGCCATCGACTACGTTCACCCCAGGTGGGGGAACTGCGTCGGCGTAGGTGCCGGTGGATCTCCAAGATGCCATCTCTTGCTCCATGGCAGCTATCCAGTTAGAGGCCCAGGGTCCCGAAACCGCCTCAGCGTAAGTGCGAGCGGTCGGTAAGTCGAAAGCGTCGGGTCGCCCTCAGGGACTAGAAGCATGGAACAGAGATGGGGAGCAGCCTCGGACGGGAAAGCAAGCTCGTACTGATGGTCCTCCAGGACGTCACTGCTGAGGGCAGGAGCACCCTCAACAGACAGAGGACAGAGACCAGAGCGATGGCGTAGATAAGGCTGCGGGTAGAGGCGAAGTCAGCGACCGTAGCGACAAGAGTGTCAAGACACGAAACTGGAACAGACGGGTCGGTAACGAGAGAGGCAAGGACCCGAGGAACAAGGGGACGAGCGATACGTAGGTAGTCAGACAGAGGGGGGGGGAATGCAGTGTAGCGCGGTACAGTGCGATGCAGAGCGGTGCAAAGTGGTGCAGAGCGGTACAGTGCGGTGGAGTGCGGTACTTGAGGGGTTGTAGGGCGGTGCTGGTGGGGAAGAACGGGCCGGGCACGAGTCGGCGGTGGGCCGGCGGCGAAGCGAATGCGGGGCCGGCGACGACGGCGGACGCTAGGGGCCAGCTGGCAGACGGCGGACGCTAGGGGCCAGCTGGCAGACGGCGGACGCGAGGGGCCGGCGACAACGGCGGACGCTGGGGGCCGGCCGGCGGACGGCGGTCACGAGGGGCCGGCGACGACGGACGCGAGGGGCCGGCAAGGGGCGGGCACGGGGCCAACGAGGGGCGGGCACGAGGGGCCGGTAAGGAGCGGGCACGAAGACACGAGGAGCCGGCTAGGAGAGGGCGCGACGGCTCAGGGGAGGAACGGCCAGGACGGGCGCGGGGCGATAAGGGGCCGGCTAGGGGCAGGCGCAACGGCGAGCATGGCCGGCTAGGACGGGCGCGATGGCACACGGGGCCGGCTAGGGACGTACTCAACGGCGCAGGGGGCCGGGTAGGACGATCGCGACGGCTGCTAGGAATGGTCGCGACGACTAGGAACGGCCGCGACGGCGGCTAAGGACGATCGCGACGGCTAGGAACGGCCGCGAGAACGGCTAGGAACGACCGCGAGACGGCGGCTAGGGACGTCCGCGACGGCTGCTAGGGACGGCCGCGAGACGACTAGGGACAGCCGCGACGGCTAGGAACGGTCGCGACAGCGTCTAGGAACGGCCGCGACGGCGGCTGGGAATGGGCGAGACGGCAGCTAGGGACGGGCGCGATGGCTAGGGGGGGGCGTGATGGCGGCTAGGGCCAAGGGCGGAAGCGTGGGCGGGCTAGGGGGGGGGCGAACCTACTATGATACCATATCAATATGAGTAGTGAGTATAATAGAAGGATACAGTGGTATATAGACTAGGGGTTGTAACCTCTAAGGCACAATCCAGTATAGTTTACAGTAACTACATAAGTTACATTTGACAGATATATGGAGCCTAACTCTCTTGATGATATCCTTTCTTGTCCCAATAGTTTGGACTGGAGACTTTATGACTAAACATCCTATGGTTACGTTGCTTGAGCCAACCTAAAACTGCTGACACTTCATATTTTATTCAAAGTTTGTATCCAATCCAATGCCTTCAATAATGAGAACATGCTAAAGGCTAATCAAGAGAATCTAATGTGGAAAGCTAATTCACAATCGTTTAATAAGATTTGTATGGTGTATGTGCAGCAAATGGAAACCGGATTTGTTGGTGTCCTTGACCAGCCAGTGGCCGACCACCCTGACACCTGCGATTTGGTGGAAGATGCAGAAATTCCCCGTCATATACTGTGGGGAAATTTGGAACGCATCCGTTGTTCGGCAGGTAGAGATTCCTTTGCGCGTACGTCCCTAACAGTCATCCACTTTGCAGGCAAAGTCTGTCAGACTTCTGCAGTCGACGTGTCTGAAAAACACCATTCGCGTCAGGGCTATTTCTGAACTAGCCAGTCGCCCTACCAGGAGGCAAGGGTAATTTCTGACGAAATCTCAGCTCCTTCAACCTTGGGTCTTGCAGCACTTTGCTGAGGGCGCGTCATAAAAGTTCGCACCCTGTTCAGCACCGAGTTCGGATACCATTTTAAGGGCTGTAACCCTAAAAACCGCCAAAAAGGACAAGCACACCTGTCGCACAAAATTTGGGGACGCGCGGACCCGTTTCGGAGCACATACACAAGAAACGCGATTCGATACACCTATTTGTACTTTCGTTTTATTGGGTCAATGCTGGCGAAATCAGGTGGCGAAAATATCCAGCACCTTTGGTCGGCACTGCGTTACAAGTTCTGGTCGCCTTTTTCACTTTGTGAGATAGAGTTACTCGCCAGGCAGCCTGGCTGCCACTGGGCGCGTCAAAGTGTATCCCTTCAATTGGATGCGATTCTTTGCAGGTTCGTTTTTTGAATCGATTCCTGTTTTGCACCACTGCACGTCCCGCCGTGTCCAAAACGGCTAAACGATTTTTCTAGACGCGCCCTGATGATCCCAACCCCCGAGGGCCACCCACCACTCCCACCTGCACCACGCACAACCTGGGTTCATTTCAGCAGCAGCAAATGAAATCATTGCCAGAGCAATCATTCTCCCGTGTCCATGGCGGTCTAGGGTTGCTCAGATCAGACTCGGACGCCTAGGGCAGGTTTACGATCCCTTTTCTTACCCCAAGCTAGGGTTTTCGCCTTTTAATTGTTAACTCCGTCGATGTCCGATGAGACGTTTTAGACGATGGCTAGCAATGAGGATGCTCAATGCGCTTTAGCTTTAGCAAACGACGACTTACTCGTTACTTCTGGCAAATGACGATGCTCACTGCTAACAATTGATGTTAGGAATGACAACAGCCTGGTACTCGTCAACAATGGCATTGCTCAATACTCGTTGAAAATGTCGATTCTTATCATTCATTGTAATGGTGACGCTAGCACTGGGGAGATGCACTGCCGCTTAGCAATGGCGATGCTCACGCTTTAAGTTCTTTCGTTGAACCTGCCCGTCGGTCATCACCAAAGCTCAGCTAACCAACATCCCAAAGGAGGCTAGGGGTCACTGACATGACAACCACTAAACGCGCCGGACGCAGTGACCTAGGCTAAGTCCGTCCGTCGGTCAATCATCGAAGCTCAGTTAGCCAGCAACACATCGGACCGTTAAATCGGAGCCATGGCGGGGTCGTTCGACGACCCGGATTTAGCGGTGGAGGACTACATTCCCAAGGACAAGGAAGGTGCGTCTGGCGGCTGAAGTATGTTCGTATAGCAGACCGGTTCTGTGCGCTTCATTAGAATCGGTTGCCGAATAGCCAGGCGCGTCCAGTGGATGACGACATTCCCAAGGACAAGGAAGCCTGATGTCTTACAGGTGGTTTTTTAGAATTCTAACCTGATGCGCGAGCGATGGTCCAAGGTGCGGCTCAGCCTGAATTACACGCCCGTTCACACCCCCTCTCCTCCACGGTCCACCTCCACACCCCCTTTCCCACCACACCCTAAGCAGACATGCAGCTGATGCTGGAAAGATGGTCCAAGCTTCTGCTGCCCTTTCTCACCCCCTTCCTCCCCCCCCCCATACCCCTCCTCTCCCTTTCACCCTTCCCCCCCCCCCCCCCTCCCCCCTTTTCCTTTCCCACCACACCCCAAGCAGACATGCAGCTGATGCGGGAAAGATGGTCCAAGCTGCTGCTGGGGGACGATCCCTCCGGGGGAGCTAAGGGGTGCGGGCCTGCTCTTGCCATGGCCAACGCCATCACCAGCGTCTCAGGTACGTTGCTAGGGTTTCAGGAGTGTTGGTAGGGTTTGGGGTACACTGCTAGGGTTTGGGGTCAGATGTTTGTTTTTCAACCCAGCAAGGACCTGTGAATGCACTCACTACCAATGGAGGATGCCTAAGTGATTTGCTTCCCGGTGCCAAAAGCCATGATTCAGTAGTACACACCCTCCCTCTCCCCCCTCTTCCCCCCTTTCCCTCCCCCCCTTCCCCCCCCTTTCCCCCCCTCCCTCCCCCTTCCCCGCCCCCCCCCGCTCACCCTCAGCATCCATTTTCGGCGACGGCCTGCGACTGCGGCCGTTACCAGAGGAGGACGAGCGCAAGTGGCGGCGGGAGATGGGCATCATGGTGTCGGTGTGCCGCCACATAGTCGAGCTGGCACCTGCATGGACCACCCGGCCTGACGGCTCTAGATTTGAGGTATGAGGGACCGGACATGAAGGGCGGTGGGAAGGGAAGGAATGCAGGGAGACGGGCATCATGGTGTCGGTGTGCCGCCACATAGTCGAGCTGGCACCTGCATGGACCACCCGGCCTGACGGCTCTAGATTTGAGGTATGAGGGACCGGGACATGAAGGGCGGTGGGAAGGGAATGAATGCAGGGAGACGGGCATCATGGTGTCGGTGTGCCGCCACATAGTCGAGCTGGCACCTGCATGGACCACCCGGCCTGACGGCTCTAGATTTGAGGTATGAGGGACCGGGACATGAAGGGCGGTGGGAAGGGAATGAATGCAGGGAGACGGGCATCATGGTGTCGGTGTGCCGCCACATAGTCGAGCTGGCACCTGCATGGACCACCCGGCCTGACGGCTCTAGATTTGAGGTATGAGGGACCGGGACATGAAGGGCGGTGGGAAGGGAAGGAATGCAGGGAGACGGGCATCATGGTGTCGGTGAGCCGCCACATTGTGGAGCTGGCGCCAGCATAGACCACCCGGCCCGACGGCTCTAGATTTGAGGTGAGTGGGACAGGGATAGAGTCAGGGGCAGGCATGGGTGGTTGTATTTTGAGTCGACTCAAAATACAACTCAAAATATTTTGAGTCGACTCAAAATACGAGTGGGACAGGGATAGAGTCAGGGGCAGGCATGGGTGGTGGGAAGAGGGTGGCAAGGGCCGTGGGGAGGGGAAGGAAAGGGAGATGGGCATCACGCTGTCGGTGTGCTGGCGGATTGTGGATGGAGCTGGCGCCAGCCTGGACCACCCAACCAGATGAAAGCAGATTCGAGGTGAGGAGGACAGGGAGGAAGGGGGTTGGTGAGAGAGAAGGGGGTGGATCAGCAGAGGTGGTGGCGAAGGAGAGGGGGGCGGGTCACGGGGGAAGCGGGAAGATGGCCTTGTGCGAGCTGTCTCAGAACTAGCACAAGAGCTCATGGTTGTGGTTCCTCCACTTGTTAGATATCCTGCATTTCCACCTGTTCCTGTGCCGTGCCGTGTCGTGCTGTGTTGTGCTGTGTGGTGCTGTGCTGTGCTGGCAGGTGATGCGTCGCAGTGTGCGAGCAGACCTTCGGATTCAGCTGCCGGCACTCAGCCAGCTCGATACTATGCTGCTGGTAATGTGCTGCTGCTGGTATGATGTGGCAACGTGCTGGAAGTAACACGTTATGGTTACACGTTCCTGTAACATGTTCTGGTAACCTGTTCTTCCCCCCCCCCGCCTTCCCCCTCTTCCCTCTCCCTCCCACAAGCAGACCATTCTGCAGCACAGCCAGTCAGACAAGTACTACTACGAGGACGAGCTGCCAGGGGGCGAATCTCCATGCACCCTTACCGTCCCTCCTCCCTTTTCCCCCTTCCCCTTTCCGGCTTCCTGTGCTTGCCTCTCCTTCAACCTTCAACCACAGACCATTCTGCAGCACAGCCAGTCGGACGAGTACTACTACGAGGACGAGCTGCCAGGGGGCGATCTAACCCAGGAGGACGGTGAGGAGGAGGAGGATGAGGAAGAGGAAGATGAGACCGAACGCGGTGACGATGATGTTGATGATGATGATGATGATGACGACCGAGAGAGCTTTGGAGAGGGGAGCATAGGAGGAAGCAGCAGTGGCATGGGCGGTATGGGCGGCATGGGGGGGTCGGCAGGGGACCTTTACGGCGCGGCAGACAAGCCGTTCAGGCGCAGTGCTACAGCCCCGTCCGAGCGACCCGCTACTAGCGCTGGCCCGTATGGGTCCGGAGGAACGGGTGGGCGGCTAGGAGGGGGTGGTGACGGAGGAGATAGGGGAAGGGGAGGGGGGCGGGGAGGGAGCCATGGGCATGGGTCGGGGCATAACTCTGTCCATGGGTCATCAACGCGTGGGTCGTCGACACGAGGGTCGTCAGCACATGGGTCGTCAGCTGACGAGGAGGAGTTTGTGGATGATGAGGCGCGCTTCAGCCAGGCGGGGGAATTTGACGGCGTGGAGCAGCAGCAGCACAGGCTTGGCTTGGGCTCATCGCCTGGATATTGCGCTGAGAGGCGGGGCAGTGAGGAGGACTTTCAGCAGCAGCAGATGCAGATGCAGCAGCAGCGGGGAGGGGGAGGAGGGGAGGGAGAGGATGCATGCAGCAGTGGGAGTAACACGGGGAGTAATGCTGGGAGTGCCACGGGCAGCAGAGGGGGATCGAGTCCGAATCCCGGCTCGTCTTGGGGCTTCCACCAGCGGTCCAGCAGTGCGGCCACTCCTGCTGCTGCTGCTGGTACTGCAGCCAGTGGGAGCACAGGAGCAGGTGGATACGCAGGTGGATCTTCAGGTGCTCCTTCAGGTGTTTCTTCAGGTGGTTCTCCAGCCTCGGGCAAGCGCCGGGTGTCGTCGCGGTCCTCCAGTTTCAGCTACGACTTCTCGGCTCTTCTAGGCGGCGGAAGGAGCCGCGGGGGATCCATCACTGCTGCTGCTGCAGCAGCAGCTGGGGTGGGGGGGCCAGGAGTAGGGGGGGGCATCCCTTCTGGTGGTGGTGGTGCTAGTGGGGGTCTCATGAGGGGACTCAAACGAAGTGTGACTGATGTGAGGGATAAGAGGATCACTCCAGAAGCCATGGGAGGGCCACATGACGGGGGAGGAATGGGAGGAGGCGAAGATGGGGGAGGCGGCAACCAGGTGTGGCGGTGGCGGATGAAGCCGCGGGTGCGGGGCGCGCTGGGGGAGGCGTTGGTGCGGTGGCTGGAGCAGCAGATGGAGAAGACGAGCCAGATCATGAAGCTCGCCATGACCATCAACCAGCAGGTGCTCCAAGACATGGAAGTCCCAGAAGCGTTTGTGCAGCGCCTGCCCAAGGTACGGCCTACTTGGGATAAACGCTATGTCAGGTGAGCCTGCTCAAGGTATAGCCTGTACCACTGCAGATCATGAAGCTCGCCATGACCATCAACCAGCAGGTGCTCCAAGACATGGACGTCCCCGAGGCCTTCGTGCAGCGCCTGCCCAAGGCGAGCTGGCTGCTGATGGGACACGGTACCAGGTAAAGCCATTCCAAGGTGAAGCAGGGCATTTAGGGATCTCCTCAGATCACGGAGCTCGCCATGACCATCAACCCACCAGCAGGTGCGGCAGGAGATGGACGAACCAGAAGCATTCGTGCGGCGCCTTCCTAAGGTGAGTCGTGCGCTGATGTGCAGCAAGCTCCTACAGGGCACTCCTCACCGTTCCTCACCTAGCCCCCACCACCACCCCTCCCTCCACCCGTTCCCCTCCCCACCCGCTCACATCAGAACGTGAGGGCAGTGGTGGGCGCTGCATGCCAGCCCGTCCTCTTGCTGTCATACTCGCACCAGCAATGCACCTCACTCACGCTTTCTTTCCTCCACCCCTCCTCACCCACATCAGAACGCGGGGGCACTGGTTGGTGGGAGACAGGGTACACGCAGTGCTGCACTGCACGCCAAGTTGCCAACCCATAACAGTATTTTCTCCTCCCCTCCCCTCCCTTGGCCCTGCCCCACGCGACCATCATGCCCCTTCACCTCTCGACCTTCTCCTCTCGACTTCAGAACGTGAGGGCGGTGGTGGGCGACAGGGTGTATGCAGCGCTGCACGCCAACCCATTCACTGACGATAAGCTCCTATCAACAGTTGACCTTTCTAACCAGAAAGCGGCACTCAAGCTCGCCTGCAAGCTGGAGGCGGCTGAACAGATCTGGATGCGGCAGCTGTTGCTAGCAAGGTACGGTGGAGTTCAGTGCGGTGCAATGCAACTTTGTGCTGTGACTTGCTAGTCGAACCTGGGATATCAAATCAGAAGGCGGCGCTCAAGCTCGCCTGCAAGCTGGAGGCGGCTGAACAGATCTGGATGCGGCAGCTGTCGCTAGCAAGGTAGGATGGTTTCTGTTCGGTCCACTGTGGTTGTGTGCGGTGACTTACAAGTTGAACCAGGGATCTCCAGCCAGAAGGTGGCTCTCAAGCTTGCGTGAAAGCTGGAGGCGGCTGAACAGATCTGGATGCGGCAGCTGAAAACGCAGTTGGTGTTTTTGAGAATTCTCAAAAACCTATGTTGACCTTGCATGCATTTGAGGCGCCTCAAAAGAAAACCCAGTTGGCGCTAACTATTTTGACCTTGCATGCACCCACCTGCTCCTCAATTGCTGCCTCTGTCCAATCATAACTCCTCTCGAAGTCATGAGATGGGTTTTGGGGGGGCTCAAAACTCGTCTTTTCTGGCGCCTCAAAACCGAGCGCTCCTCGATTGCCACCTCAGACCATTAGTATGTTCCCTGGACCTTGCCTACGATACCACACTCTCACTGGCGTCACATATGTTCCCTGGACCTTGCCTACGATACCACACTCTCACTGGCGTCACATATGTTCCCTGGACCTTGCCTACGATACCACACTCTCACTGGCGTCACATATGTTCCCTGGACCTTGCCTACGATACCACACTCTCACTGGCGTCACATATGTTCCCTGGACCTTGCCTACGATACCACACTCTCACTGGCGTCACATATGTTCCCTGGACCTTGCCTACGATACCACACTCTCACTGGCGTCACATATGTTCCCTGGACCTTGCCTACGATACCACACTCTCACTGGCGTCACATATGTTCCCTGGACCTTGCCTACGATACCACACTCTCACTGGCGTCACATATGTTCCCTGGACCTTGCCTACGATACCACACTCTCACTGGCGTCACATATGTTCCCTGGACCTTGCCTACGATACCACACTCTCACTGGCGTCACATATGTTCCCTGGACCTTGCCTACGATACCACACTCTCACTGGCGTCACATATGTTCCCTGGACCTTGCCTACGATACCACACTCTCACTGGCGTCACATATGTTCCCTGGACCTTGCCTACGATACCACACTCTCACTGGCGTCACATATGTTCCCTGGACCTTGCCTACGATACCACACTCTCACTGGCGTCACATATGTTCCCTGGACCTTGCCTACGATACCACACTCTCACTGGCGTCACATATGTTCCCTGGACCTTGCCTACGATACCACACTCTCACGGGCGTCACATATGTTCCCTGGACCTTGCCTACGATACCACACTCTCACTGGCGTCACATATGTTCCCTGGACCTTGCCTACGATACCACACTCTCACTGGCGTCACATATGTTCCCTGGACCTTGCCTACGATACCACACTCTCACTGGCGTCACATATGTTCCCTGGACCTTGCCTACGATACCACACTCTCACTGGCGTCACATATGTTCCCTGGACCTTGCCTACGATACCACACTCTCACTGGCGTCACATATGTTCCCTGGACCTTGCCTACGATACCACACTCTCACTGGCGTCACATATGTTCCCTGGACCTTGCCTACGATACCACACTCTCACTGGCGTCACATATGTTCCCTGGACCTTGCCTACGATACCACACTCTCACTGGCGTCACATATGTTCCCTGGACCTTGCCTACGATACCACACTCTCACTGGCGTCACTCACTGTTCCATACTGCCTGTGGCTCATTCCTCTCCCCCGTGTACCTCGTTGTGAGGAACCTAAAAAAACTGCGTGATAGGAGTCTAGTTTTGAGGCGCCTCAAAACTCACAGTTCCATACTGCCAGTAGCTCATTCCTCTCCCCCGTGTACCTCGTTGACCTGGTGTGACCAGAGACCCCCAGCTGAGCCACACATTCACCAGCAGCAGCCGGGATGCGGTGCGATTGGAGGAGAGCCTTCAGCGCGTGTCCTCCTGCCTTGCTGCCATCCGCCGGCGTTGGCCCGACCTGCCACAAACAACTCTGGATTTGGCAAAGATCGCTTTTAACGGGGTACGTACGCTCTCTTGGGAACGCCAGTGCGTTGCCCTCAGCGCATCTCCTCCTGCCTCACTGTCATCCGCCGGCACTGACTCGACCTGACGCACATCACGCCTGGGACTTCCTTAGTTTCCGCACCCTTGACTTGGGTCTTCATCAGTGCTCACACCGTCATGTCGGGTCTTCATTAGTACGCACACCCGTAACTTGGGTCTTCATCGATTCTTGCACCCTCAACTTTAGGGCATTGGGAAGGTTGCGCCTGACAGCTGAACCCATCGCATGCGCCATCCCCATGCCCGCACATGCTCTCGTTGTCATTGTGACCTCACGCCCCCTCCCGCATTCCCTCACACCCCCTCACGCATTTCCTGACACTCGTCTCAGGACATAGGCAAAGCGGTCCTTGAGAGCTATTCCCGCGTGCTCGAGGGAGCGGCGTCCAACATCCGGTCTAGGATCCGCGACGTGCTGCACGCCAACTACCTCTTCTTGAACCCGCAGCAGTTCATGGACCTGCCGTGCGACCCGCACCCGCAGGGCCTGCGCCACCCGACCTTCAGCGTGCTCATGCCGGAGACCGTCTTCGACGCCGTCTCCCTCTCCAGCGACAACAGCGAGTCCACCAACGGTAGCGTGCGCTCCTTCGACTCCAGCCGCAGTGGCGGCAGCACCCGGTCAGGGAAAGGGGCGAGGGGAGGGGGAGTGGGTGGAGGAGGGGGGGGAGGAGGGGGTGGGGATGGTGCAGCGGGGTTGGGTGCGGCGGTGGGTCCGGGGTATCCGAGCTCAGGGGTGCTGGGGAAGGCCTCGGCCAAGTGGGACATGCGGCCGCCTCGCAGCCCTGAGCTGCGCAGCCCGTTGATTGCGGGTGCCATGGGGCGGCTTAGTGTCGGTGGCAGTGGGGGGGGCGGTGGGGGTGGTGGGAGCGGGCGATACATGAGGAGCCCTCTTCATGGGGGGAATTCCGGGGGCCCCGGTGCTGGTGCTGGTGCAGGTGCTGGTGGCGGGGTAGGGGTAGGGGGAGGGGCGGGAGTGAGTGGGGGTGGAGGTGCCGGGGTTTATCCTTCTTCGGGGTCTGGGGGAGGTGGATCTGGGGGAAGCTCGCCCTCTGCCAGTCCCAGCCGGCCGGTTCAGAGAGATAGGTTTCTGAGGCGCACCGGGTCGTTGCAACCCACGGGGCGGCGGGGGAATCGGTCGTTTGGAAGGAGCCAAAGCGGGGGGATGGCGGATGAAGTCATGATGGGGATGGATGGGATGGGCGGCGGTGGGGGGATGATGATGAGCGGTGGTGGGGGGATGATGATGGGGGGCGGTGGGGGAGGAGCGGGGGGAGGAGGAGGAGGAGGAGGAGGAGGAGGGCGTGGAGGGGGATCGCCTGGTTACCAGGTTTCGCCATCGCGAGGACCGGTGCAATTTTCGCCAGGTGCTGGGTTGCCGCCTCAGCCTCCAGCAAGGACTCGATCCGCCAGTGCAGACTGGAGTTGACCCTCTGATCCTTAAGATTTTTTTTATTTTTTTTTTCCACGTTTCTTTTCCCAACGAGCAATGTTGCATTATATTCAGACAAGACAACGGGGGTATTTATGCATATACAACTCAAATGACATGCCTCGTTATCATGAACAATTTTTTTCATTTCTACTTGGCCAAGGCGGCGTTACTCAAACGAATCTGATGAGCACATTCTCCGACTACAATGCGGTAACGCGCACTTCGCTTCGTGGCGAACTCAGACGAGTCATCGCGATACGACAGCTCGAGAGATGACGCCACGTGGAATAAGTGCACGAACCTATCCACCTAGGTCATCCCATTCAATATGCCTAGATTACTACTCTAACTATTCTACCACCACTCTTGCCTGTGCTCTCTAGTCGCTGTTTTTTAGGTCTGGAAAGTCGATTTGCCAGGCGTCATGTCTCTAACCATGGCTGCGAGCGCCGCAGCGGCGCGTTCCACTCTAGCGGGCGCTCCGCTCGTGCAGCCGTGTGTAGCGGAACGGACGGACACGTCCGCATTTCAGTGTTTGGGAGGCTCCAGGAGTTTACCTTACAGACAAGTGACTATTGTAGGCTCGAGTCGCAGAACCTTACGAGTGAGATCTAGCCAAGAATCGAATAAAATCTCGACATCCACGGGCTCAGACTGTTCTAGTTGGGAATCACAAGAAAATAACGGAGCCTCCTCTAGCGGAGCATTTTCGCGCAGAGCTTCCCTGCTTCTCGCCGCATCTGCCGGCGCGCTGCTTGCCGATTGGTCCGGTCTCCCGGCAGCGCAGGCGCTGCCGTTTCTGCTGCCGCCGGCCGGCTTTCGGCTTTATGTGGATCGCTTAGACGGCTACTCGTTCTTCTACCCCGACTCGTGGGTGGAGGTGAGCTGCGAGACTCACGTGCTTACGATTTAATTGCAGGCATTGCGAGTCACGGAACCCGATCTGCTTGAGCCAATTCACCGCCTGTAGGCTGTAGCTCGATTTTTTTTTCCGATTTTTTTTTTTTTTTTCCCCGATTTTTCCCCCCCTTTTTTTCCCGATCTTTTTCCGATCTAGATGTTTCCTGGGATGGGCTTCTTCTCATCTCCCGCCCCTTTCTAAGCTTCGTCTTCCTTCTCGTCCCCCGCCGCTGCTTCTCCGTCCTATCCGCCGACAGGTGCGGGGATCCGTACAGGACTGCTTTTTCCGCAGCTCGTTCAACCTCGACGAGAACGTGGAGACTTTTTAGTCGACTCAAACGCCGTCTCTTTCACCCTCCATTTCTCCCTCCATTTCTCCCTCCATTTCTCCCTCCATTTCTCCCTCCATTTTTCCGCCCATGTCTCCCCTCAGGTGCGGGGATCCGGGCAGGACTGCTTCTTCCGCAGCTCGTTCAACCTCGACGAGAACGTGAGCGTCGAGGTGTCGTCGCCATCGTCGTCGCGATTCGCGGTAAGTGTGCTGTGTGCGCGGCGCATGGGATCAGATACATGTCTGTCTTACTGCCAACATCCAAACAAGTGGCACTGGCTTGGACTGGACCGCCACGTAAGGGCGAAAGCCAGTACTGCGAGAGAAATTATCGAAGGAAATTAGATGGAGTGTTCTCTAATGAGAAAGAAAAGCGCTATCATCGTAGCGCATGCGTCCGCGTTCATCGCGCCTTCCCCCATCTCCCCTCCTCTTCCCCTCGATCCCCCTTCCGCACTCTCGGCAGTCCGCGCGAGATCTCCCGCGTGACGGTCTCCAGGCAGCCAGCGAGCGCATAAAAAAACAGCTTATAACGGAGTTCATGTCCACGCGCTTCCCATACCGCTCTGTACCCCTCCGTAACCCCCCATCGCTTCTCAGTCCCGTGCGTGACCTGGGAGACGCTCAAGCAGCAGGAACGCGCGTGGAGGAGCAGCTGCTAACGGAGTTCATGTCCATGCGGCTCCTGTATCCCCTTGTACCCCCTTGTACCCCCTTGTACCCCCCTGTACCTCCCTGTACCTCCCTGTACCTCCCTGTACCCCGTTGCACATTCCTTGCGCGATCGAGGCGATGCAAATGCAGCAGGAAAGCGCGTGGAGAAGCAGCTGCTGACGGAGTTCATGTCCGCGCGCCTGGGCGTCCGGCGTGAGGCAGCCCTCATCTCCTGTGCCCCCCTGTAATCCCCCCCTCCCGTGACAGTCCGTGCGCGGCCTGGGAGACCCCCAAGCTGCAGGCTTGCGAGTAAAGGCCGCCCTCATCTCCTGTACCCCCCTGTTTCCCATTCCACAGTCCGTGCGCGATCTAGGCGATCCAAATGCAGCGGGCAAGCGCGTAGAGAAGCAGCTCTTAACGGAGTTCATGTCCACGCGCCTCCTGTAACTCCCTGTACTCCCCTGTACCCCCGTGTACCCCTCTGTACCCCGCTGTACCCCGTTGCACAGTCCGTGCGCGATCTGGGCGATGCAGATGCAGCAGGGAAGCGCGTGGAGAAGCAGCTTCTAACGGAGTTCATGTCCACGCGCCTGGGCGTCCGGCGCGAGGCCTCCCTCATCTCCTCCGCCACTCGCGTCGTGCCAGCTGGCACGGGCAGGAGAGGCGCCGGGGAGGCGGAGCAGGACGCGGAGTACTATGACGTGGAGGTGAGGGGGAAGGGGTGAGGGGGAGGGGAGAGGGGGTGGGGGGAAGAAGGGGAAGGAGGGGGGGACAAGGGGGGGGGGGGGGGGGGGGTGGGCAGGGGAGGAGGAGCAGGACGCGGTGTACTATGACGTGGAGTTGGGGGGGAGGGGGCTGAGGGTGGAGGAGGGATGCAGGAGGGTGTTGGGGGAAGGGAGGGGGTGGGGGGTTGTGTAGCAACCAGATGCGGATTACTGTGACGTGGAGGTGAGGGGGAGAGAGGGGGGATGGAGGGTCAGGCGTGGGGTCAGGCTTGGGGTCAGGCTTGGGATCAGGCTTGGGGTCAGGCTTGGGATCAGGCGTGGGGTTAGGCTTGGAGAAGGAACTGGTTGACTGATTGGAGATGCAAGGAAGAGAGGGAGTGCGTGTGACAGAGAAAGGATGGTCCGTTGTATTTCCGATCTGGGAGGTGAAAAGAGTTTTCTGCTGCCTCAAATCTCTTTTCTCCTCCTCGTCCAATTTTGGGACTTCCCTTCCGATTTCCAGGCTGTTGACTGCGCCCTTTTTTCCCTCCCTCCCACCCCTCTCCGCCCCTCTCCGCCCCTCTCCCTTGCCCCCTTCTTGCCTGATCCCCCATCGTCCATTCTGTTCTTGCTTTGAGCTGACCTTGAAATCATATGCCACCAACAACCAGCTCTTTCTGCTCGAAATTTCAACAACTGTTTTCACGTCGATTGAGTTCTTTCAGCAACAATTGAGCTCCTTCCCCATCACCCCCCCGTCAGCCTTCCTCCCTGCTCCTTCTCCCCCCCCCGCTTCTCCCCTCCTGTGTCGTACCCTTGCTGCCTTGCTGGACGTGAACTCACACGCCGACAGCAACCAGCTCTTTCCCCATCGTCCCCCCTCCCTGCTCCTGCTCCCCTCCCTCCCTCCCTGCTCGCCCCCTCCCTCAGTCCTGCAGCTGAACTTGAAATCCTATGCCAACAACAACCAGCTTGCAATCATGCCTCTACCTGCTCCCCCTCCCCTCCCTCCATTGATATCCCCCCAACCACCCCCGCCCAACCCCCCTCTCTCCCCCCCCCTTGCAGCTGAACGTGAAGTCATACGCCAACAACAACCAGCTCGCCATTATGCCCGACGAGCGCGTGCAGGTACGCTCCGTCTCCTCTTCTCTCCTCCCCTGCCACGCCCTCCGCGCACTCCCGTTTTACACTCCCCACTTCTCGACACGGACAACATGGTTTGTGTCGTGACAACTGAACATAGAATAGATTCATGACACAGACCATGTTCGGATTCAGAGGCACCTCAAGCGCAGCGAATCATCATCTCTCACTACTGCCTGCCTGGCGCCATTCCTTGCTCAACTGCCAATGAGCCACGTATGCCCTGTATGGGAACATATGAGCTCACATGTGACTCACCCAATGTATGGCACACTCCATCTATGTATGGCTCACCCCATGTATGGCCCACCCCATGTATGGCCCACCCCATGTATGTATGTATGGCTCACCCCATGTATGCCTCCTCTGCCCCACCCCTCAGGTCCTGGAGTGGAATCGCCGCTATGTGCAGTACTCGTAGTGGGCAACGGATTGTTACCTTTCTTGCGTCTTAGCCTAGTTTACTATCTGAGACTACTCTGTGGCTTGCTGCGGGTCGAACCCACCTTTTCTTCATCATGACAGTACTCGTAGTGGGCAACAGACTGCGGCTGCACGAGCTGTGGCCGCAGGTGCTGGAGTGACTGCCGGACACAGAAGCCAGGTGTCCCATTCTGTATGTTAACAATGTACTTCCAATATGTGCACACTTACCACCCCCCCCCCCCCCTTTCTCACCAGGTGCTGGAGTGGAATCGCCGCTACCTGACAGTGCTGGCGGTGGCCAACAAACGGCTGTTCCAGCTGCGGCTGCAGGTGCCCGAGAGACTGCTGGACGCCGAGAGGCCGGTATTGCGGCAGGTCATGGACTCGTTCCGCGTCTTCAGCGTTGCGGAGTAACCAGTTATGGAGTAATGTGTTACAGCCCAATTTTGTTGTAGGACTTGTTCCACACATTTCAGCATTGCGGAATAACCAGTTCTAGGCGTATGCGTATCATGTTAGTCAGTAGGTTTTGTCTGGTATTTAGAATTGTCCCAGCATCATTTTTCTGACAATGCTCAGCAGTGTAGTGGAACAACCACCACAGCACACACCAGTCTGCAATCTAGATCGAAGAGGTGACTTTTTGTCAACCCAAATGCCTGAGTCGAGTGCATGCAGGGAGGCCTGTGCTCCGATGATAAGTCATGGAATTGTTAGACTCCTTCAGCGCAATTTGTGGGGGTGGGGGGCTAACCTAACCAGGCTCACTACACAGCCCCCTTTGTTTGACGCACACGTTGTTGGGCTCAGGAGTCAGGAGTCAGGACTTGCAGCTCTTCAGCGGAACGAATCCATGCACTAGCAGCAGGTGCACCCACCACCACGCCACATGCATCCTGCATGCGCTTGGTGAAATTTCTCAACAAGGCCCTAGTGTCAGTCTGCTAGGGGAAAGTGTTTTTGGACCTGTGGAGTGGATGCAGGGATAGGGATGGTAGGAGAGTGAGAAAGGGGGGGGAAATCAACCAAGGGAATAGCTCTTGCCAACGAGTGGAGTGGAGAAAAACCAGCATTGGGCTGCAAAAACAGGCATTCCAAAGAACTTGCGTGAGTTATACTACCGTACGCAGATTCGAACGTCAAAAACAGTTGAATTTGTAAACACAGAAAGGGTCGAGAGGCTTGCCTGGTGAAGGAACTTGGCGAAAGTGGGATGAGACCTGGCTGCTTCTAGCGCCTAGGGAACACAGAGAGGAGATGAGAGCTTTGAGTGAGATGGGTTGGGATAAGGTCATGGGCGCTGGTGCAAGGTTGACAATGACAGGCAGCGAGCAAGTGGTGAAGGAACTTGGCGAAAGCAGGATGACACCTGGATGCTTCTAGCGCCTGGGGAACACAGGCGGGGGATGAGTGAGGTGAGAAGGTGATGGGTGGGATACGGCCATGAGCGGTGCAAGGCTGACAGTAACAAGGCAGCCAGCGAGTGGTGAAGCGCGCGAGAGTGCTTGAGTGGGGCTGGAAGGACACAAGGCGCTTGTGAGAGGACAATAGGGGACTTATGTGTGAGCTGTGATGGAGTGGGAACAACGGTAGCAGCAGGGTGGTAACAGAAGGGTGGTAACAGCAGGGTGGTAACAGCAGGGTGATAACAGCATGGTGGCAGCAGCAGGGTGGCAGCAGCAGGGTGGCAGCAGCAGGGTGGCAGCAGCAGGGTGGCAGCAGCAGGGTGGCAGCAGCAGGTAGTGTTGAAGCGAGCAGCAAGCAGCAGGGTGCAGCACTGACTGATTCTGGATGCGGTGATTTATCGATGAGTAGCAGCAGCCGCTGCAAATCGTGGTCCCTCAGCTGCTGCCTCAGCGCCGAGTCGTCCGCTGCCAAGGGGTGGGCGAGGAAAGAAGGGGAGAAAGGGACCAGGCTGGAGGAGAAACGAGGCCAGTGTGACGCAGTAGCCGCTGCAAGCAACTCGTGGTCCCTCAGCTGCTGCCTCAGCACCGAGTCATCGGCTGCAATGGGAGGAGGAGGGAGGAGCAGGAGGGAGAAGAAAAAAAGGACCAGAAAGTGGGAAGAAGCCTAAGAGGGGAGTGAGAGGCTGAGGGGACAGGCACAAGGGCGGAGGGGAGATTGAAGAGAGTGGGAAGAAGCCTAAGAGGGGAGTGTGAGACTACTGCTGCTGCTGGGACTGCTGTCACGAGCCCCCTAAACACATAGCCACACTCAAGATCCACCCACCTATCTGCCTGAGCGTGCGGCAGGGCAGGTGCCAGGAGAGCTCGTCCTCATCCTCGCACTCCTCAAACGGCCGCACGGGCTGCTGGGCTTACGGAGCCTTCCAACAACCAACCGTAACATCCTAAATGCTTGTATCCAAGCCCCTGCTACTCACCTATCTCCCTGAGAGTGCGACAGGGCAGTCGCCAGGAGAGCTCGTCCTCATCCTCGCACTCCTCAAACGGCCGCACGGGCTGCTGCGCCCTGCTGCTGCTGGGATTAGCGCTGGGACTGCTGTCTCGGCCATCAGCTGTGGTGGGGGCTGTAGCTCCCGCCTCTGCTGCCGCTGTGGCAGGCTGCTCCCGAGGCTGGCATGGCGTCTCTGCATGGGGTAACGAGGAGAATGCGACGTGCAGGAAGAGAGGCAGCTTTCTTCGGTGCGCGATCCAATCTCAAGGGTTTGTTTCTCTTGGAAGAAACAAAAAGAGCAAAACGCTGCACCTGAAACCTAGACCTGAAACCCTGAACCTCCAAAACCCTAACCCGGCACTTGTACCTAACCCCAAAACTTCACACATGGCACCCTGAGCCTTAAACCCTGTATCTGAACCCCTACGCTTGTCTCTTCTTTAGACCCAAAACTTCACACATGACGGCTAGAGCCTGGAACCCTAACCCCCTGAACCCCTAACCCTGAAACCAACCCTGAAACCCTGACCCTGAAACCCTAACCCTGAAACCCTGACCCTGAAACCCTAACCCTGAACCCCTAACCTTGAGCCCCTGAACCCCGAACCCTGAAACCCTAACCCTGAACCCCTAACCATGAGCCCCTAACCCTGAACCCCTAACCCTGAACCCCTAAGCTTGAACCCCTAACCCTGAACCCCTAAGCTTGAACCCCTAACCCTGAACCCCTAAGCTTGAACCCCTAACCCTGAACCCCTAAGCTTGAACCCCTAACCCTGAACCCCTAACCTTGAACCCCTAACCCTGAACCCCTAAGCTTGAACCCCTAACCCTGAACCCCTAAGCTTGAACCCCTAACCCTGAACCCCTAAGCTTGAACCCCTAACCCTGAACCCCTAACCTTGAACCCCTAACCCTGAACCCCTAAGCTTGAACCCCTAACCCTGAACCCCTAGACCTGAACTCCTAACCCTGAACCCACCCGCCTCCCGATCCCCTCAATCCCATCTGTCGTACGCCTGAGAGTAACGTCTGGCGTTACCTTTGTGCGTCCTGCAGCAGGCGACGGAGCAGCTTAGGACGGCAAGCAACGGCGGAAGGCGACGGATGGAGGCCGGAATGTGGGGGATGGCAAGAAGGAGGTGCGTGTGTGGGGTGGGGAGGGGAGGGGGGTTTGGAGGAGAGGTAAGGTGAGGAAGTATTTGCGGGCAGGTAGGGATATGAAATCCTCTAACGAATGCGAGCAAAAGGGTCAATAACGGAATTAAGAAACGAGCATAACGAACATAGGAGCACGTTAAAAACCGGAGTTCCGGAAGGTGAGAAAAGGTTGAGCGGCTCATGGGTCGTACGCACTAGGGAGCAAGACACGTGGGGCATTTGTATTTGGCGGCTTGCGATCGGCACACGGCGCACGGCTGCTGTCCACCCTTCGCCATGCTGTGCGACAAGCCTGTGCCACAAGCGTGCGACACAGGCGTGCGACAGGCGTGCGACGGCGTCTGGCTCAGGCTTCCCTAGATTGACCGAAGAGATGCTACGTGGGCAGGCTGCGACGGTGTGCGACACCTATTCTCCGAGGACGTCCTGTGATACGGTCTCTCCTGAAGCGTTCTGTTGATGACGGATTTTTTAGTCGACTCAATAGTCACCGTGCGAGAGCCAACAACCAGCTCAAACGAGCTGTGTGCACATGAGGGGGGTTGGTTGGAGCGGCTTGTGGAGAGGGAGGCCGATGATCAAGCGTACGACACTTGAAACAGCATCCCGCGAATACAGGTGGATTTTGAGAATTCTGAAAACGCACTTTGTGTTGGGCAGGGCAATATGGTCAGTCTAATATGGTTCGACGTGGTTCAGAGCGGTACAAAATACATCTTCTCTACCCTTGGGAATGCCGCCGCCACATTCATTTCACCTCTGCCTCCAACCTTCGCTCTCCCCGCCATTGCTGCAGTCAACTTTCTCCGCCGTAACGCTGCTGTAGGATCATCCCAGGACAATGCAGTGGTAGCTTGACTACCCATCTGGACGTGACGTAGTACTGTACTTGACAATGCAGTGGTAGCTTGACTACCCATCTGGACGCGACGTAGTACTGAACTTGACAACGCAGTGGTAGCTTTCGCGTCCCACCGACTACGTGTGCCTGTACGCTCAGTCCCCTCGCCAAAGGCTCAGGGCTCAGGACGCAGCGTAGCGTTTCGAACACCACCTGAGAGGTGTTAGTAACGAGATGCTCTTATAACGATGTTTTTACCCCGTCGGGCAAACCGGCAACTTCTCCTCCTGCTCGTTTTCCTCTCCCTCGAAGCAACCCGCCTTGCTGCCGCCTCTGGTACGCATATTTCACTCGGGCTCTTCCCTCTTTCGTCCTTTCGACTCTCGCGTCCCTCACTCATCTCTACCTACCGCAACAAGAAAGATGGCTCTCGAAATAAGTAGGCTTGAATCTGCTCACAAACACCTCACCAATTTTTTCCTCTTTGACTGCACTCTCGCCCTTCTCTCCTCTTTCCCTCCCCTCTATCTCTCCGCTTCTAACGCGGATGCTCAAGCTCAACCTTTGCGTTGCTCCTCTGCTCTCCTCGCCACTGGCGTTTGACCCATTCAGACGAGGACTCCCCTCCACCACACGATTCACCGTCATCAGAAGTATCAACGGCCACTGTTTCCGAACCTGATCCGAAGCCCGATGCTGGGTCCGACTCCAAACCTGATCCCGAGCCTGATACCAGATCTGACACCGAGCCAGCCAACGAACCTGCCAGCAAGCCAGCCACCGAGCCTGCCTCAGCAGACAATGCGTCAAGCTGTCCATCAAGTGAGAGGCGGTGTCGTTGATCCGACTGGAGGTCCGGGTTGAAAGTTACTGCTGTTGGAAAGGGGCACCTGGGTTGCCCTACGTTTTGAGACGCCTCGAAACGAAACCAACTGCTATTGAAAGGGGGCATTGGGGTTACCATAAGCCTGCTGAGTGAAGGGCTATGGACATCAGACCTGGGGGTTGTGCCTGGGGGGTTGTGCCTGGGGGGTTGTGCCTGGGTGGTTGTGCCTGGGGGATTGTGCCTGGGGGGTTGTGCCCGGGGGGTTGTGCCGGGGGGATGTGCCCGGGGGGTTGTGCCTGGGGGATTGTGCCTGGGGGGTTGAGCTTGGGGGGTTGTGCCTGGGGGTTGTGCCTGGGTGGTTGTGCCTGGGGGGTTGTGCCTGGGGGGTTGTGCCAGGGGGTTGTGCCCGGGGGGTTGTGCCTGGGGGGTTGTGCCTGGGGGGTTGTGCCTGGGTGGTTGTGCCCGGGGGGTTGTGCCTGGGGGGTTGTGCCGGGGGGGTTGTGCCCGGGGGGTTGTGCCTGCGGGGTTGTGCCTGGGGGGTTGTGCCTAGGGGGTTGTGCCTTGGGGGTTGTGCCTAGGGGGTTGTGCCTGGGGGGTTGTGCCTTGGGGGTTGTGCCTAGGGGGTTGTGCCTGGGGGTTTGTGCCTGGGGGGTTGTGCCCAGGGGGTTGTGCCCAGGGGGTTATGCTTGGGGGGTTGTGCCTGGGGGGTTGTGCCGGTTGTGCCTGGGGAACATTTCGCTCCCCTTCTTGCTTATCCTTATCCGTTCCTTTCTGGTTGCCCGTCCATTAAGTTAACCATCCATTCTCCTCTCTCTCAACCCCTAGCCTCCGAGCCCTTCCCCACCCATGGGTCCGTGTGTCTGTGCCCCTGCGCGTCTACTTCAGACAAATTCCACCCATCCCTACTCCCAATGTGCGCTTACTTTCCCTTGTCCACCCTTTCCCCCCTCCCTGCTCACTGCGCCCTTCCTCCGCTGGTCAGCCCTTCCCCATCCGTCGGTGAGCCCCTGCTCTGCCTCCTATTTCACCCCTCACCATCCTCCTTATGCTTTCTCTCAACCCCACCTCCCCCTTTCCCCCCCTTCCCCCCTCTCCCCCCTTTTCCCCCCGCTCCCTCCTTCCCTCACATCTTCTCTCCCCAAATCAGGCGTCCTCCGGCCGTGGGTGTGCGCCTGCAATTCCTCTCTGAACCCATCGCCCTCCCCACCACCCGAGGACTCCATGCCCGCTATAGACATCTCCTTTAAGGGCGAATTCGGGTATGAGCTGATTGCAGTGCTTCCCCACGCCTACTGGCATTTCCTGAACGGCACGCTCCGATCGACCAAGTCATGTGGCTCCTCCCTCTCCCTCCTCTACTACTTCAGCCCCGCCCATGCCACTGACCCCAACTGCAAACGCTCAAACGACCACAATCACGTGATTAAAGAGTATGGTTTCTCCAAGGGCCTTCATTTTAGTGACATTCCGGAGAACTGGCACCCCCCTCCGCTAGTGTACCGGACTCGGGAGCTTGGACGGGTGTGGCTGGATGTGCCTATAGGGGCGCCGCTTGTTATGATAAGCAACAAGTATGAGATTGAGTGGGCTGAACCTCCTGCCAATTTCATCGACGTGCCAACCCTCCTTACAGTCATTCACGAGTTTCTCAATAAGGGGTATTATGTGGTGTATAACCGGCCTGGGAAGTCAATCAAGGCGGACCCAGAGCAAGGAGACAGGGACGACTTGGGGGATCACCCGAGGCTGGCTGAGGAGTTTGGGTCAGAGGCTCGTTTCCGAACCATGCAGCAGATCCACGAGGTTTGGCCGAGCCTGGATTTCAACGAGGTTCAGTTTAGAATGATGGCTAGAAGCTCTTGCTTTGTCAGTGTACAGGGGGTAGTTCTGTGCTGTCGAGTTACTGGGGCGGGAAGAATGTTATATTTTATCGGAAAGGGTGGGAGGGACAAGGAGGAGCTTATGAGAGGATTTATCATAGGATGTCTGGGGCAAAGATAGAGGTGACTAAAACGTATGAAGTGCTTCTGGAGAGAGTGCAGGAGATGATTAGAGAAGAGCGGTGTAAAGCTGTGTGACATGTGTGGACATATAATTTGTATATGTAATAGGCTAGCTAGGTGCATGCTTATATAGGTAATATCCCCTTGTACCACCTCATTCTAGTCGATTCGTTCTACTCAGAGATGGTATCAGATTAGGTTAGGTCCGCCCGCCCGCTTCCACCCTAGCCCCTAACGCTCCGCTGGCCCCGTTTGTGCCCCGCTGGCCCCGTTCGCCCTGCTGGCCCCATTCGCGCCCCGCTGGCCCCGTTCGCGCCCCGCTAGCCCCGTCGAGTCCCACTAGCCCCGTGCGCCCCGCTGGTCCCATACGCCCCGCTGGCCCCGTTCGCCCCGCTGGCCCCATTTGCGCCCTGCTGGCCCCGTGCGCCCCACTGCCCCCCGTATGCCCCGCTGGCCCCGTTCGCGCCCCGCTAGCCCCGTTGAGCCTCGCTAGCCCCGTTGAGCCTCACTAGCCCCGTGCGCCCCGCTGGCCCTGTACGCCCCGCTGGCCCCCGTACGCCCCGCTGGCCCCGTTCGCCCCGCTGGCCCCGTTTGCGCCTGGCTGGCCCCGTGCGCCCCGCTGCCCCCCATACGCCCCTCAGGCTCCGTACGCCCGCTGGCCCCGTTCTCGCTGGCCCCGCGCTAGCCAGCCCTGTGTTCGCCGGCTCCCGCGCTTGCTGGCCCCCGCGCTCGCCAGCCCCGCGCCCGCTGGCCCCGCGTTTGCCGGCCCCGCGCTCGCTGGCCCTGCTCTCGCCAGGCCCCAGCTCACCGGCCCCCAGCTAGCCGGCCCCTAGCTAGCCGGCCCCTAGCTAGCCGGCCCCTAGCTTGCCGCCCCCCGGCTCCACCGGCACCTGCTCCGCCGACCACAGCCCGCACCGGCCTCGCGACATGCAACCGCCGCGCCGCAGTGCCGCTCTGCCGCCCCCGACCTACCGGCCTTGGCCCCTCTCTGCGCCGGCACTCCTCCCGGCTGTCTCCACTGCTCTTCACCGCACTCCACCACCCACCATCACACTCCACCGCTCTCCACCGCACTCCACCTCCCTCCACCATACTCCACCACACTCCATCTCACTCCACCGCTCTCCGCCTCCCTGTCCTCCGCCTTTCCTCCTCTCCCTGTCAGCGGCAGTCATCTGCTGCAACTGTGATGGTGGTGGACTCACTGCTCCGCCTAGATGCGGAGGGTCAAGCGATCGACTTCGAGGCGTGGCTCATCGACCTTCGCCGTCACCTTACAAGTCAGTGCCTAGACGGTCACTCCCTGGCTGTTCATGTCGATGGCCTGCTTTCCCACCCCGCTACGCCAGTTGCCCTCCCTGCTGCTCCCACCACTGCTGAGCGTGAGGCCTTTTCCACTCCTACGCTTGCTCGTGCTATCTGGGACCCGCATGACGCCGTCGCACAGCTTGCTATCAGTCACGCGCTTCCCCTGTCTGAGCATCCACGCCTTACCACTGTAGCGAACGCCCAGGAATTCTTAGGAATTCTTGCACCCCCGCCACAGCCTCTGCTAGCCGCCTGATCCTCTCCATGCTATTCCCTGATCTTACGTCCTTCCCCACTGTCGCCGATCTTGCCACTCACCTCCGCGCACTTGAGACTAGCTACCGTGCCACTAGCACTGAGGCTCAGCTCAGTGCCTTTCCGCCGCTGCTTTGCGATACCCTCTACCTCATTGCCATGCGCCTTCTAGATTGCCTAGCCATTGCCTGCGACCACTTCCTTAGTCAGCACCCAGGTGACCTCACCCTTACCGCCTTTGTCACCACCCTGCTCGAGATAGAGACCCGCCAGCGCACTATCGCTTAGTCTAGCGGTACTGCGGCGGTCCCTATCTTTCAGGGCTGTGCTCCCTTCCAATGCACTTACTCTGAC